TTTATGTGTAGGGTGTGATGCGGGTGCGGGCCGGATGGTGACAAGCACGGGCGGGTTGCGGGTCCAATAACCAAGACTATTTTGACTCGGTCCAGTACACGCTGCTGAGCAATGTAGCCAATCGCGCTGCCACTAATTGACAGCTGTGGTGATTATATTAAAGGGAGCACTCTTGCTTGCTTTCTGTATTTAATCTATTCACAATTTGAATAAAAGTTTTAATAAATGAGTTTTGTCTACCTCATGTAGGAGATTTAATGCAGGTGCGGTTCGGGTCCCAGTTTTTATGTCAATTGGGTTGGGTATGGGATTAAATTATTGTTGCTGTCAGATAACATGTCGGGTGTTACTGCGATTGTGGGAAGATCATTTTACCAGCCAGGAAAGGTGAACGAAAATGCCTCTCTGTGATGTTACCACAAGGCATCGCTTACTTACAGATCTCAGGCTTCTGGAGGGGATGTAGATTCGTAAGAGTGAGGAGGAAGTAGGATGGTGCTGAGCCTGTGGCTGTTCTGTACGCAAACATCAATGTCTTGAACATGATGCGAGCTGCAACCGGTAGCCAGTGCAGGGAGATAAAGAGAGGTGTGAAGTGGGCCCTTTTGGGCTCATGGAAGAGTAGTCATGCCACTGCATTCTGAAACATTTGTCGAGGTTTGCATGATCGAGCTGTCTTTACAATATGGTCCTTGAAGGTTTCTATCATTTAAGCGGGTAGAACACAAGTCATCAGGGCAGTTATTTGAGATTTGACTTACTAGTCATATGGTGCGTAGCGTCCTGGAGATGTTGTCCGACATGAGTTCCGCTCCGACTCTGCTGGGGTGCAGGCCATCAGTGCGAAAAAGCCTAGGACGCTCCCAGAAAAGTAAATTTTAAATGTAATAAAGAAATGAGCAGAGATGTCTAGAGGTTTTACCAAATGTTATCTGTGATACAATTGCATGTGTAAATTAAGTCAAGCTGCTTGCCTGATTTGTTAGTGTTTGTGGTGGCAAGCCATTTGAGATCGAATGAAGATAGGAGTAGAAGTGGAAGTCTGCAGTGTAAGGCTTCTCCAGATGGATTTCGAAGTCACCAAAGACTACAAGTGGACTGCCATCCACAGAGAATGAGGACAGCAGCACATACAGTTCCTCTATAAAGGTGACCAGGAAGGCGATAAATCATTACAATAGGGAGTTTAACAGGAGCTGTTACCATAATAGCATAAAACTCAAAATAATTTTTATTGCATAGGGAAGAGTGGGTTGAGTATTTCCAATTATTAGAAATGAGAAGACCAGTACCCTTCCAACCTGAGGGGGGGTGTGAGAGAAAGGGAAGTTGTTAGAGAGAACAGCAGGAGTTGCGGGGTCTTCTGGACAACGAGGTGTTTTTGCTATGGCTCCATTTCTGAAAATGTTCAGGGCCCTAACCTGTACAATTGTACCAAGTTGCATGCTTTTATGAAAAAGTGAACATATAACCTCAAATTTTGCACATATCACCTGGATTAACAAATTCAGTTATGCATAACAATTTAATTAAAAAGTTGATTTGAAAAATTAGTTTGTATTTCAGCGCGAGTATGAGCAATTTTGTGTAAAACGCGATGATCATGTTTGCCAGCGCGACTGGACATAATCCAAAAAGTGGCGAGAGATTCTTAAGAAGGACATCTGACTATTTGTACAAAGAGTCGCATGATTGGTGTCACAAATTTGCTTGTTTTGATTAGTGACCTAGAAATAGTGCAGAATCTAAAATATTTATTATTAATTTTACATCATAATGTTGCTTTGTTGTAAATCCTTAAACTTTCTGTTAATGTTTAGATTAAATTAGATTTTCAGTCCCAGTTTTTCAGATGCTGCCTCATATGTTTGCATCCCATTGTAAATATAAACTGTGTGATATATGTAGTTTTCTCTGTGTGTGCTGTTTAGACCTATATTGGCTCTGTCCTCGTGGCCATGAATCCCTATCAGATGCTGCCCATTTACACGGCAGACCAGGTGCACCTGTATCACGATCGTAAACTGGGCGAGCTCCCACCGCACATCTTTGCTATCGCTGACAGCTGTTACTTCAACATGCGCCGCAACAAACGCAACCAGTGTTGCATTATAAGGTATGTATTTAATCTTTTCTTCTGAATATTGAGAATCTAATCTAATGCATGTTAATTATTGATTTTGTATGCCCAGTAGTATGAAGTTAGAAGTTGGCCACGCATATCCTGCCCTTGTAAGATAATGTTTTTACATATGATTTATGAGTGTCTACACATTTAGTCACACATCATAAAATTTGTGAGTGGTCAATGTACAATTAGAGATATAAGTTATGCTCTTTGCATACTCGGTTTGCCAGAAAAAGTTAATTTAAACAGCCATCAAACCATCAAGCCATCAATGGTGTAGAATGACTTTGTTAATTGTTATATATTATTATAGGCTATTATATTTTATATTATATTATATCATATTATATTATTATACAACGGGGCTGTTGAATGCTTGAATCTGATTGGCTGATGAATGTTCTAAGGTGTGCAATTATTTTCAGGGAAACGCACGGTTAATAAATAGAGTAATATAGTAAACAATACAATAAAACCCACAAATTTCTTCCGTGTTTTAACCATAAAATTATGTTTTATTATGTACGGAAAGCATGTTCTCCCGCTCTCTCTCCCTTACAAACGCACACACATACAATACAGACAAACACTCGCACACGGAAACACATGCGCACAGAGACGTGTTGTTTGTTAGCGCTGCTCTGACGATTTTATCAGTAAAATAGCAACTTTAGCAACTTAAAAGCTACATGACATTTCTCACCAGCAAGGTAATAACGGAGCTGTTCTTGAAACAGATGAACAGATGAGTTTCGCTAATAGTAGAGACTGTGCTGCTGAACACTGTTGAGAGACACACAGACTCAGATAATTCACACAAACGTAATCTCTCTCTCTCTCTCTCTCTCTTTAATAACTTAATTAATAACTGCATTAGTCTGCTATCAATGGCTCAAGCCTCCATTACTAGGTCTAAAATTACATTTTGGAATTAGCAACTGTGGCATTGGAAATTAATCCTACTCATAAGAGCATTTTAAGGACAAAAACCTTATGAATGTCTTAAAAAACATAATCTGAACAATGTCTTGAAGTGTGGTAACCGATGTATAAGCAGACTCCGCTTCAAGTCGTGGCCACATCACCACCTCAGGTGTGCATTATTTTCTAATAATTCAACGGCCCGTTTTCAATTATTCCTTATATTATATTATATTATATTATATTATATAAATAAGCATAGTTCATTTTCAGATTTCACCTTTTAATTTAATATTTGGTTTAGCTACATGCTGCAGCAGTTCGCTGTCAGTGGATTTGAACACATTTATATTTATTTATTTACCAGATACTTTTATCCTTACAAATCTTGGCAAACAAAAAATAATAAATGCTTTTGGTTTGTGTGTCAGTGGAGAATCTGGTGCAGGAAAGACAGAAAGCACTAAACTGATTCTTCAGTTCCTGGCTGCTGTGAGCGGGCAGCACTCCTGGATAGAGCAGCAGATCATTCAGGCCAACCCTGTCCTGGAGGGTAAGCACTGAACAGGCTTGTCTTGTCGACTATTTCAATCATTTCCATAGAAAGCGGTCTCACTTATGCATGTCTTACAGCATTTGGGAACGCCAAAACCATTCGGAATGATAACTCCAGCCGCTTTGGGAAATATGTGGAGGTCTACTTCAATAAAGAGGGCGTTATAGAGGGAGCTCACATGGAGCAGTACCTGCTGGAGAAGTCTCGTGTCTGTCATCAGGTGTGACTATGTTTTACAGTAAAAAGGTACATAGCTGTCACTACATTTTCAAATGGTACTAATATGTACCTTTAAAGTACTAATATGTGCCATTTAGGGGTAAATAAGATACAAAGATATAGCTTTTTAGCTTTTGTAGCTTAGGGTACCACCACAGTGACAGCTTTGTACCTTTTAGTCTGAGATTGTTCACCTTACGTGCTTAAGAAAAAACATCAAGAGCCTATGACTGGTTTTGCACTTTTATGAGCTTCATTACTTTCAAATAGTCTTAAATTAATAATATTAACTAATATTTATCACGTTAATTGTTAAAAGCTAAAAATTAAATGGAGTAAATAAATGTTCTTTTATGAATTTAGTTTAATTATTTTAAGATGATTTAATTATTAATTAATTTATTTTCATTTTTAGGCACCTCAGGAAAGGAACTACCACATTTTTTACTGTATGTTATCTGGGATGCAAAGTGACCATAAGAAGACTCTCTCTCTTGGTGATGCATCACAGTTCAAGTACCTGACTGAGGTGAGCTCTTCAATTCAGGTTTATTACGTTTTAGAGAGGAGAGGAGTTTCAGTAAATCACGTATTCAGTAAATGTTTAGCCCTGAGTTTTTCTGACATTTTAAATGTATGCTTTAATTGCGTCAAATACAGGTAAATCATGACTACATCTTAACATTATTGGTGTAATATCCATTGAGTTTTAAAATCACTCCTCTCTAATTCAGATTCTTTTATCAGGTTTCGATACTGATAATCACTGACTCAGGCACAAGTGCTATAAGTGACTCTTCTGATGGTTATCTAGGGTAATTGTTTGACATGTGATGGTCGGGACGATGCTGATGAGTTTGGACGGATTCGTGCTGCTTTAAAGATCCTCACTTTCTCAGACAGGGACTGCTGGGAAATCTTCAAATTACTCGCTGCCATTCTCCACATGGGCAATATCGACTTTCAGAGTTAGTGTCAATAACCTTTCTATTACAGTAATAACATCTCAACTGTCTTCCCATAAACAGAAGTTATTGCAGTTAGGAATGCCATAAAGTTGACTGCTTTGCGCCTGATCTTTTTCAGGCACCACAATGAATAACATGGACAGCTGTGATGTCCTGTCATCCAGTCATTTTTCTGTTACTGCCAAGTTGCTGGAGGTACAGAGAAATGTTCTTTAGAGCTAATGCTGCTTTTAGCACTTTATCCTCAATTCATTTTTTAAAAGCTTACTGTATTTATGTAATCACACATTCGGCTGCTGAATGTATTTGATGACAGCACTTCTGCCACTTTGCAGGTGGGTGATGCTGTTCTTGATAAGAGTCTTACCCATCGCTCCTTCATGACAAACCGAGAGATAGTCACGAAACCCCTCAGCTCAGAGCAGGCCACAGCCACCAGAGATGCTTTTGCCAAGGTACCCACATCCTCACACCATAGTGTCCAAATGTTTTTTCCAGAAGAAAAAAAAACGTATTGACCCCAAACTTTCGAACAATGGTGTATATACAATCATCATTCAGGCTTCATAGATGCTCATTATTATTGCACATGTGAATTACATGTGTTTGTTCTACTCTCTGACAGGCCATGTACGGAAGGCTGTTTGTTTGGACGTTCACAAAAATAAACAGCGCCATTCACAAACCCCAGACTGATGAGTCCTCTTGCACGCGCACGTCCATTGGTCTGCTTGACATTTTTGGCTTTGAGAATTTCCCTCAGAACAGGTAAGTATCTGTTGAATAAACTAAAAATTATGTTAAAAATTATAATTAATATTTAGCAGGGGTTTAAAGTACTTGAGCAGTTGTACTTCAGTACTGCATTTAAGTATAATTTCAGGGATAGATAGATAGATAGATAGATAGATAGATAGATAGATAGATGATAGATAGATAGATAGATAGATGATTGATAGATAGATACATAGATAGATGCATAGTTAGTTCTATGATAGGCCCATACTCGAGTCGTAAATATCATGTCTCTATACTTCTGTCCTCTTTGTTTAGTTTTGAGCAGCTGTGCATTAATTATGCCAATGAGCACCTGCAGCAGTTCTTTGTGAGGCACATCTTTAAGCTGGAGCAGGATGAGTACAGTAAAGAAGGAATCTCATGGAAGCGCATCGCTTTCAATGACAACCAGAAAACCCTGGACCTGCTGGCCATTAAACCTCTCAACATACTGGCTCTGATTGATGAGGAGAGCACCTTTCCTAAGGTGAGCGTCATAAGCTACATGAGTGCTTTATATGCTTATGGATATTTTGTCTGTGCTCACCTTGTGTTGTCTTGTTTTTTTAATGCAGGGAACAGATGCCACAATGTTAAACAAAATGAACACAGAACACAATGGAAACAAACTGTACATGTCATTCAAGGGCAACCATGGCATGAGTTTTGGGGTTAAGCACTTTGCTGGGATGGTTTATTATGACTGTGAAGGTACAATTCATTACTTAAAGACTTGGTTATGACATGCCTAATAGTTATTTTACAAAGCAAATTAGTTCTGATCTTAAAGTGCTGTATTTTGTCAGGTTTTTTGGAGAAGAACAGAGACGCCCTTAGCATGGACATCTTGGAGCTCGTTCAGAAATCTTCCAACAAGCTGCTCAAACTGATCTTTGAAAAGGAGACGAATACAAACTCAGCCAAGAACAATAACAAAATCAACAAAATCATCATGACGCCAAAGAACTCATTACGAGTATGGGACATTAATACGGTAGACTGAGAGTATTGACTGGACAGTGGCAACAGCTTTGCAATATATTGTTTCTTTTTTGTGTCACACAGCAAGTAAATGATTCGAGGCGGAATATATCTACTCTCAGTGGCCAGTTCCGTCAATCTCTGGACTCTCTTATGAAGGCCCTGTCTCTCTGTCAGCCCTTCTTCATTCGTTGCTTCAAACCAAATGACAAAAAGATGCCCATGGTACCAATTCACATCCCTTAAGTTACGTATTTTATATTGTGTAACCATCAGAACACTAATCAAATCGTGCTTTCTGTTTTTCTCGCTTGTCAGGTTTTTGATAGAAACCTCTGCATGCAGCAACTTCGCTACTCTGGAATGCTGGAGACCATTCAAATACGCAAATCGGGATATCCCATCCGGCACACCTTCAAAGACTTCCTGCAGCGCTATCGTGTACTCCTTAAGAGCGTGGACTGTGACCCCAACACTGTATGGGCCTAATATGATTGTTTACCGATATGTTGGTCTGAATATGAAAATTACTATAAAGTGATAGTTGATTAATATAGCTTAATGTGTTATTCAACATCCCTAGATGGTCCTGCATAATTCCAACCAATCAATGCCTTCTGATTTAAAGTTAAGTTCAGGGCTGTGATTGGTTGCTAGGAATCATGTGTATATAATGTTGATCTAAAAGTCTCTATTAACACTTTACAATAAGGTTTCATTTGTGAACATTAGTTAACTACATTAGTTTACATGAACTAACAATGAACAATACTTCTGAGCATTTGTTAATCTTAGTCAGTGTCAATCTCTGCATTTACTAAGATCACAAGTTGTATCGATTAACATTAGTTAATGCACTGTGAACGAACTAAACATGGATGCTGTAAAAATATATATGTTCACTAATGTTAACAAATGAAACCTTACTATAAAATCTCCCTTAAAATACAACTACATTTATTTAAAGGTGAAGCGTGTCATTTCTGTGCCACTTGCATCACCAAAAACAACTATAAGCAAGCAAAACGCAAAAATAATGACCATTTTCAAACAGGTTTCCCTAAAAACGCCACCCATTTGCCATTGGCCAGACATCTAGATATCTCCGCCCCCAGTTTGGTTTAGCCAATGCTGATGCGTCACATGTCTGCATCACACTAATGGAGACGCTTAAAAACAAAACAGCACAGTGTTGTCAATTTTTGTGGGAATCATACTATGAATGGTTCACTTATAATTGTCTACACATACTAAGGTGACATAGGAGAAATGAAAAGAATCACATGTTCAGCTTTAAACATGATGAATGATTTGATAAATGGAAATATTTGTTATTTGTTTATCAGGAGCCTGCTGCCAACTGCTGTGCAGCCATCTGCAGGGCTATGATCAAAGACGAAGAGGACTGGAAGATTGGCAAAACCAAAATCTTTCTCAGGGTACTTTAGACGTAATATTTCTCTAGTGAATTATACTGATTTTACATCTATATCAGTATACATTCCTGTAATGTTAACGTATATTGGATTTATAAAGGCATTGATGTCATTTTTGTGATTATATTAAACATACACTACTGTTCAAAAGTTTGGGGTCAGTAAGATTTTTCTTTAAAGAAATTAATACTTTTATTCAGCAAGGATGCATTAAATTAATTAAACGGTAAAGTCACAGTAAAGACATTTATAATGTTACAAAAATAAATGGTGTTCTTTTGAAATTTTTTTATTCATCAAATAATCTTGAAACAAAATCACAGTTAAAAATACGTTACAATAGATTTTCACAGTCTTATTGTTTTACTGTATTTATCAAATAAATGCTGCCCTGGTAAGCATAAGAGACTTATCGACTCAAGCTTTTAAACAGTAGTGTGTCTATCATATTTTTTCACATAATAATTTTTTTGCACTGTGTTTCCTTTTTTCCCTCTGTCGCAGGATCATCATGACTCCTTCCTAGAACTGGAGAGAGAGCAAGAGCTTTACAAGAAAGCACTTATCATCCAAAGAGTGATGATCGCCCATAAGGACAGGTTTGTTCCCCATTGTCTCTTGTCTATATAGTATTTATTTGTGTAATTGTACAGCAATTTTAAACTAAGTAATTGTTCATTCACTTACAGAGCAAATTTTGTAAAGAAGAGGAGGGCAGCTCTGGTTTTGCAGAAAAACTGGCGTGGCCACAGAGACAGAAGAGACTTTTGCAAAGTAAGCTATGCAGGAACATCTTATGTCTACAGTATATGGAATATCTCTTAAATTAGTGTAATGAAATAATGAAACATGCCTCATATTATTTCTGTTTTCCCTGTAAGCTCAAGCAAGGATTTACTCGGATGCAGGCAAAAGTGCGCAGTCGGCAGCTCCATAAGGAGTATATTCGCAGACGGGCTGCAGCCATCACTCTGCAAACACAGACCCGTGGCTACCTCGCCAGGAAAAACCTGAAACGCAAAAAAGATGCAGTGATACTCCTGCAGACACAGACCAGAGGCCTGCTAGCCAGGAAAGCCCTCAAGAGAATGAAAACAGATGTGAGTGTATAGTGGAATGGAGCAGACTACCTGGTTTTTAGTACTTTTTTGCAGAAAGTCTTGTTTTTGTTTTATATGCAATACCTGTACCAGTAAAATGTTTGGATTTCTTGTCATAAGTTGTAAAAAATATGTCAAAAATAACTTTTCTATTTTACAATGTTTTAAAATGTAATTTATTCCTGTGATGCTTATTTTGTTGTTGTTGTTGAAACCATGATTCACTACCATTTAAAAGTTTGGAGTAAGTAAGATTTTAAAAATATTAATAATAATACTTTTATTCGTCATGGAAACGTTCATTTCATTAAAAGTAACAGTGTTGTATAAGACATTTATGATGCTTCAGATTAAAGATTTCTATTTTAAATAAATGCTTTTCTTTTGAATTTTCTGTTCATCAAAGAACCCTGAAAAAAACGAATCATGGTTTCCACAAAAACAATTTTAAGCATTTATTATTCATACCCTTGTTCTGTCTTTTTTGACAGGCGTTTTTGACTGCACAAGAAAAAGAGGCTCAGGAACGTATAGCTTTGGAACTTCAGCAACGCCTAGAGGAGCTGCTCAGAAAAAATGAGGAAGCTGCCAAATCCCAGAAAAAGGATGATGAGGAAATGGTGGAGAATATCTTTGGCTTCCTTCCGAGCGCAGTAGGAGGACAAGAGGGCCCAGCTCCTCAGGGTTTTGAGGTTAGAGTCATCTTGACAGCACAATAAGGAAGCAGGACACCTATCTGAAGGGAACAAACACTTCCTAATCAAAATTCATTTAAATAATTTAAATTAATTAACATTATTTTAATTAATTAAAATAATAAGCCTATATCAACTCCAACTATCCAATAAGCCTATGTTAACTCCAACTTTTATTGTCGCTACACAATCAATTAATGGCATTTAATGCATTCGCTATCATTGATAATACATTATGTCTTTTAAATGCAAAATGTTAGTATCGTTAGGTAAATATTAACTTTGTGTGATTTGTTCCTGATGTTCTTCTAGGATTTAGAGGCAGAGCCGGTGAAGTTAGAAGAGGTTGAATTAGTAGAGAACCCTGTAAGGTTGTTTTTTTTTACTTTTTTTCTCCGCTTTTTCCCTCCTCCTTTAGGCTTGTTTGACAGTATGGTGGATCATACTGAGGTTTATGGGAGATCTTCCAGAGCCGAAGCAAGAACGTGTTTCTGCTATAGCCGACCCCATTCAGATGAACCTTGGTCAGAGACAAGCACGGCGACTCAGTAACCTTGTTGGATTAGATCAGGTAAACAATCAAGACACTATAAAACACTGCCTTCTTAACACCTACCATATGTTCTGACTATAGCTTCACTGCCTACCCTGCTCAAAAGATCTGCCTAGATCAACATGCATTTTTGTGTTGGTTTGATATTAGTATATATTGTATTGCTTTACATATTTTAATGTAAACACATGTTTAATAAATAGACTAGCCAATCAGAAAAGGTTTCAGTTGTATTACAGTCAGTGGTACAGAAGGTGAAAACCAGATGTGAGCAACTGTTAAAATGAAAAAAATGCAAGAAATAACAATATAAACATTTTAATGTGAATACAGAGGAAGAAATTTAAATATTTACATTTTTAAAAATGCATCAAGGGACTAAAGCAAACCAAAGGGGATCATAAATACAGAACTGCTAAATACTGTAAATACTCTTATGGGTGTCATATAATAACAAAATAGTCAATAACCCAACAGAAATGTGACTGTTGCTTTTCTTATATCATTATATTATATCAAACAAACGTTTGTGGGTTTATTCATTTGTTGGTCTTGTAATTGCAGAAATTTTTGAGAAAAAAAATGAAGCAACAGAAGGGGACAGGGAAAAGAAAACACTCAACCATTCCTGAAGAAGAGGTGAAATGTGTATATATACTAAATCACTGATCATTACTCACGGCTAACTGCATCATAGCAGGTTTCTATTAATTATTCTGATGAAATTTTCAGCCAGAAGAAGAACCAAAACCTAAAATGCAGGCTGTTCAGGAGGAAGAGGATGTACTGTTTGGAGAGAGAGCAACTTATGATCGTCCAATGACACCATTGGAGAAATTGCATATTATTGTAGGATATGCTATTGTACGACAAGATATAAGGTTAATGTTATGGGTCATTGGTCATTTACATTCTTCATAATGTGGAGTATATTTCTCATACAGAGAGATAAGGGTTACATAATCTTTTGACTTTATATGTTTTTCAGAGATGAAATCTACTGTCAAATCCTTAAGCAGTTAACAGACAATAAGAACCACAAAAGTGCAAGCAGAGGCTGGACTCTTCTGTCCATCTGTCTGGGTATTTTTCCCCCTACGGACCGCCTCACTAAGGTATGAAATACTTTTTGATTTCTGTTCTGTTATTTAAGAGCTAATGTGAATTTATCCAATCATTATCACAAATTAGACCTGACAGGGTGATCAGGACCCTGATGTGAAGCATAGGGGTAGTGTACCATCCTGAAAGGGTTTGTTTTTCGATAAAGTCTGCTGAATATATTATTGTATCATATCATAGCACAGCTATGAAGAAAATAGGTTCTTTAGAACCACAACTACACAGTTTAATCATAATACAAATGCCATGAATGACCAATCAAGCTGTGTGATATATGGTACAGTGTATGTTATGTTATGTTATGTTATGTTAGGTTATGTGTTGTTGTTCATATGATGTGTTGTTTAATGTTATGTTTTGTTATGTAATGTTATATTATATGTTGTTGTGTTGTATGTCATGCCATTATATGTTGGTTTATGTTATGTTTTGTTGTGTTATGTGTTGCCATGCTGTTATATTTTGTTTCATGTTGTCTTGTTATGTTTTGTTGTGGTATGAGTTATGGTTTGTTTGTTTATTTTATATGTTGTTATATGTCATGCTGTGTTTGCATGTTTGTTGTGTGTTATATGTCACACTGTTTCGTGTTATGTTAATGTGTTGTGTTATATGTAATGTTGTTATATGTAATGTTTTGTTATGTGTTGAGTTTTCTGTCGTTATGTTGTTTTGTCATGTTTTATATGTTGTTATATGTGCTATGTTTTGTGTTGTCATCTCATTTTATGTTATATGCTGTGTTATGTCATGCTGTTTTCTAATGTTTGTTGTTTTATGTTGTTGTGTTATGTCATGATGCCATGTTATGTTTTGTTATGTGTTGTGTTATACATTATATTACATTTGATTTCATGCTATGTGTTATGTTGTGTTGTTACGTCACGTCACATTAAGGTTATATTATGTTATGTTGTGTTGTGTTGTGTTATGCTATATGTTATGTTATGTTCCACAACCTTTTGGCCACAGTACCTGCAGAGCTTTATACACTATGGGCCAAGTGAATACTCCTCCTACTGTGCAGAGCGACTGCGGAGGACTTTAGCCAATGGAGAAAGAAGTGAGCCACCATGCTGGGTTGAACTACAGGTAGGCAGTCCCTCTGACTGAAATTATGAAGAATACTTCTCTTGCTCTAAACATAACCAGCCCTTCTTTCTTGCAAGTCTGTAGAGAACAAGAAGCCCATTTCAGTAGCTGTGGGTTTGATGGATGGCAGAAGCATCAGCCTCACTGTGGATTCAGCCAGCACTTCTGCAGAAGTGTGCAGTGCGGTTATCCAGAAAATAAAGCTGCAGGACACTTACGGCTTCTCCCTATACGCTGCAATGTATGAGAAGGTTTGTAACATTTGAATGGCTTCAAGATGCACCTTGTAATAAGTCACATATAACTAATGAGCAATAGCAATAAAGTCTTCATGTTTGCATCTCTTGCTGCAGATATGGTCTCTTGGCAGTGGCAGTCAGCACGTCTTGGATGCCGTGTCTATGTGTGAGCAGGAAGAAAAGAGGCAGGGGAAAGAGGAACAACATGCTCCTTGGCGCCTCTACTTCCGCAAAGAGATCTTCACTCCATGGCACAACTGTTCATCTGACCAAGTCAGCACAGAGCTCATCTACAAGCAGATCATCCACGGACTCAAAAGTGGTGATTATCAGTCTGATAAGGTCAGTCCAGGCTATTTGTTTGAACTGTTCATGTTGCATATATTTTGAATAGGAATGAGATTTGTGACTTATGCTCTGTTGTTGACCTATAATCTTGATCTAGGAGGATGATTATGTGCAGCTCGCAGCCAAACATTACTATGTACAGCATGGCTCTGAAAGCAGTATGCAAACCACAGATAAGATTGTCCGTGAGTGCATGAACATGACTTTAATTGAGAACAAGTCTGTGGCCAAGCTAGTGCAGATGGTGCATTCTGCACACACACAGGTATGATGTATATACAGGTATATGCTGTATCATTGTTCACAACAGTGATTGGACAAAATTTGATTTGGTCATTAGTGCTTGGAGAACAATGCAGTAATCCTTTGTAATTTCTTAGGGTTCTTACATAAACTCTACTAAACCTGCCTTTGAAGTAAAAGTGGAGATTGTCCAATATGCGCAGGAGAAGTGGCCAATCTATTTCTCCAAGTTATATGAAGCTCAAATTGTTTCAGGTAAAAAAAAAAGCTATTCTTAGTTCTTATAGGAGTAGCTAATCCAAAAATGACCATTTTGTCATTACCTATCCTCATGTCATTCCAGACCTGTATGACTTTATTTCTTTAGTGGAACACAAAATGAGAGCTTTTGAAGAAAGTGCACGCTGCTCTTTTCCATACAAAGCTGTAAAGATAAAAATGGCACATAAAAACATCATAAATGTACACTATATGACTTTAAGACTTTTGAAGCCATATGAGTTTTGTTTAAGGAACAGACTGAAATTGAAGTTGTAGTTCACTAAAAATCTTGCTTGATGGTCGGGGTCACCATTCATTTTTATTTTACTGAAAAGAGACATTCGGCAATAAATAACTCATTTTGTGTCCCACCAATAAAGAGTCATGTGTTTCTAAAGTCAGTAAATGATGACAGAATTATACATTTTAGGTTAACTATCCCTTTATTGCATTGAATTTGTGAATGTATTGTTGTCTTTTATTAGTTACTGTGAAAAATATGTGTTCAGGTCCCTCAGTGCCTCAAGACAAGTTTGTAGTTGTTGTGAACTGGAAGGGGGTCTTCTTTCAGGATGTGACAGAAGCCGCATTTATGCAGCTCTCTTATCCTGAGGTGTCAGGAATCGAAATGAGGTAAAACATCCCTTTTTATGATAAACCTCCACGGAGAAGCATCTGAATTACATCTGAGCATTGATAAAGTACTTACGCTTAAAAGACTATTTCTGCAGATTCAGACTAGTTTGTGAGATGAACCAGTTGACTTTTCTTTTTTCGTTTCCGTTATTCCTTCCCTTCTTAACTTTTCTCCTACAGTGAGGAAGAGTCTGGTGGGATTGTGTGTTTGACGACTCCAAAGGGGATGTATGAGCTGCAGGTTGTGAAGGGAAAAGACTTAGTGGAGCTGGTCAACTTGTTCATATCAGGGCTTAAGAAGAGATCACAGTATGCTGTGGGAATACAGGACCTTATCAGACAAGGTGCTTCTTTTACAATTTTACTTGTAGTATTCACATTTGAAATGATTTTTCAACTTTAGGACACTTTTGACTATTTAAAATTTTGACAAATAATGTGTGATGATGATGTATGAGTAATACATTTTTATTTTATTTTTTGGTGAAAATTTCAGAAAAGCCTTTGATTTAACAATCAAAATCAGAAAATATGTTTTTAATTCTTATGAGAAAGTGTGAATGTACACTGTAAAAAATAGTTTTCAAAGTTGTAAATAAAATTATCACATTGTCACATTTAATTCAATATGTTACTTGCCATTTCTTTGTAATTATTTATTAAATTTACTAGCAATTTCTGAGTGAAAATTGTTTCTACACCAATTTTTTCAGTCTTGCTCTTTTTACATTTATTACAGTTACAGAGGGGAAGTTAAAGCTAAAGTTTAAGTCCACATACAGACATTCTGGTAACTTAGGTAAAAAAAATAAATAAAAATTAATTAAAGAGACAATAAAAAGGTTTAAACTAGTATAATCTCTCCTAAAACTAAAATGTAAGTCAAATGTAAGAATCACTCTACATATAAAATGGTTCTTGAACTGGTCGAAATCGCTTGGATATTGATCTTTTTGTTTTTCTTCCCTCCAGAGGATCCCACATTGCTGAGCTACAGAAGAGGTGATGTACTGTATATCATAAAGGATGGGGAGTATTCTTCTGAAGAAGGCTGGATCAAAGCGAAGAATGAGAGGACAAATCAAACTGGAGCAGTTTCCTTAGATGCCATTCGGATTTTGCCGATGTTGACCAGGCCAACAGAAGAGACACTGGTAAACATGATTCTTTTGTTTCACACTAATTTGTGGAGGAAATTACTCCTCAGCACTGGCCATTATTATGTCAATTGTTTTTAGCAGTGTTTTGAGGTTTTGTCTTGGAAATAAATATTTAAAGGCAGATTCTTTAATGAATTAAACTGCTTTAAAAGATTGTTACTGCCTTTAAAGAATTAAAACTGCATTTAGAGATTTTAAATTGCCTTTAAAGAATTAAAGAAACTTCCTTTAAAGATTTTTTAATGCCCGTTCATTGGAAAATGGTTTTCAAAACCCTCAGCAAGGTTCTTTTCTTAGGGTCACAAAATATGCTTTGTTTTATAAATCAATTTATGCTTGACCATAATAGAAATGTAAAGAGTAATTTATGTCCTCTAGAATTTGCTGAATTTGACCCCTGCACGAAGAAAGTCAGTGATGCCGGTGTTGCCGCAGAAGGAGGAGCTTAGCACAGAGAAAATTGCCGTTGTGTCCCTTAAGGAGTTCTCTTTTGATTATTTCAGGTAACACATGTACAGTTTGCACACATCCCATCTGATATAAATGATAACTGCTCCGTTTTGATAACATGCCAGTGCTCATGCCATCTTGTACCTCTTTCAATTGGTCACAGGGAGTCTAAAGAAGGTGGCCGGGGAAAAGGCGTGGCCAAAGAGAGACTGTGGGCCAACAGCAAAGAGCCTCTCAAACAGCCACTGCTCAGGAGCCTGCAGGGCAACTCAGAGCTCTGCCACCTCGCTTCTGACTGCTTCACAGATATCCTTCCGGGTGATTGGTTGAATAAGGAGAGAAATGAAAAACTGAATCATTTGTTACATATCAAATATAGTTCCTTATGAAGGAAGTTGTATTTTGTGTATTACGATAAAAGTGATTAAGACTTCAGTACATGTGACCCGAGTGAATTTTAATGAATGACGTTTACCATTTTCTTTAACATTGTCTCTACCTATCCTTAAATATATGGGAGATTATCCAGTCAAGCATGTGCGGACACCCATAGATCTAACAAACCAGATCTTTGGGTCAGCAACAGCACACGTGGAACTAAGAGATGAGATCTACTGCCAAATAATGAAGCAGATGACTAATAACAACCATGGGTTTGTCACCTAGTTTTAACTCATTTCGTTTTGGTACCCAAATATGGTCTAATGTGGCTTTGTTTGTTTTATCTGATTACTTTTTAATTGAAGTCTTGTTTGTTTCTCTCTGTTTATCTTTCAGGTTGAGTATGGAGCGAGGTTGGCAGCTGTTGTGGCTATGCTGTGGTCTCTTTCCTCCAAGTCAGTTGCTACTGAGACATGCTCAACGTTTTCTGGAGTCCAGAACCAGAGAGCCTCTGGCGTCCACCTGCCTGCAGAGGATGCAAACTATGCTCAGGTAGGACATAACATACTCGAACAGTTTGTCTCTTAAGGCTAATTCACACTGCAACAACACACACTGACCAAAACAGACAGTCACCAGATTATAGTGTGGCTACATTCACACTGTCAGTGTTAGGGATTGACAACTGCATTTACTAACAGGTGTAACTCTCGAAATGTCCTGTTCACACAGCAGTTTACAATAGAGGCTTGGATACTTGTGTACAAACGTGCAATGAAAGTCGAACGATCCTTAGTTAGGATGGCACCATATTTAATTTTTGACAGGAATGAAAATGAGGCTGTGAGAGATAGAAGTACAGTGCGTTCAACGGATTATACTGTTGTTTAACAATGTATTGATTGTTTTGCTGATGAAACATCTTTCTGGAAAAAAAAAAAAAACTTTCAGCAGACAAAAATTTCATAAAACAGTTTCTAGGATCTTTATGCAGTGCATGCCATTGTGAAGACTGAAGTCTATCCCTCAGTTTTCATCCCTGTTAAATTCAATATGGCAATGTCCAAAACTACAAAGTCTTGACATGACAGAAGTTTTTTTTATGCCTTTTATTTAGATAGGACAGTAGGTTGACAGGAAGCGAAGTGGGTGAGAGAGAGGGGGGTGGGGTCGGGAAAGGTCCGCAAGCCGGGACTTGAACTCGGGACGCCCGAAGCGCAATGGCGCTACATGTCGCTGCCCACGAGGCCATCTGCGCCGACAACATGATAGAAGTTCAACTGAGGCACAATTTCATCCACATCTTAATTTTACCGATGGCAGCTTTTATACTTCAGTAAAATGTGCAGCATTTAAGTTGTGTGCAGATCACAGAACTGTCATGAGCAGCTCTGATGGAGGACAAAAAATAAATTAATGACATACAGCTTATATCTGCATCTTATGACACATGAAAAATGTGTAGCTAGACTCATATGTGCAGCACAGAGCAGCTCTCTCACACTGTATGATGTGACAGACAACTAGTTGTTCAGTACGATTCCGTTCACACACCAGGGCTTCGCTGAAAATATGGTTTTGAGTCCTGAAAATTTTGAGGTTTGAGTTTGGCTATAGAATGTGGTTGTCACTCCCATAAATAACTATAATGAATGTAAACACAACTATATTAATGGCTCAAATACAGGACTGACAACCGTTTTCTGCTGCTGTGTGATTGTGGCCTATGTCACTTCTCAGTACACGACAAACTTCAATTCAGTTGTTCAGTCGACAAACTCAAACACTGACCAACAATGACAACAGATGCAGAAAGGGGTAACACACACACACACACACACTCTCTCTCTCGCTTCAGTCAAGTCAATTATGCTCAACCAGCTTTATACAATACTGGTTGTTTCAAAGTAGCTTTACAGTGTCAAACAGGAAAATAGTTTGTTAATAATGCAAGAAGACAATAACAGAGTCATTTTTTCCAGCTAAAGTCAGTTCATTGATGATTCAGTGATGTCATCATCCAGTTCAGCTCTCTTCCAATAGTGTCTGTGCAGTCAGTCAAGCGTCCCCAACTAAGCAAGCCAAAGGCGACAGTGGCAAGGAACCAAAACTCCATCGGTGACAGAAATGGAGAAAAAACCTTGGGAGAAACCAGGCTCAGTTGGGGGGCCAGTTCTCCTCTGGCCTGACTAAGCCAGCATGGTGTGGTTTAATACCAGGCTGCAACACAGGTGCAGAGGACTTGTCTGGTTCCCGTGGTCTTGTGCCGATGGTTGTTGAGGTGATGAGGTCTTCGCAGGGGATCTGTCTCTGGGACGCATCTAGTTGACATGGTCTCCGCTGACATTCAAGGCTGTAGAGGTCGTCTCTAGGTGCTGATCCATCATCCACCAGCCATTTGGCACAGGTTTTATGCCAGATACCCCGGTGCTGGGACATACTCATACACACACTCTCACTCCTACAGCCAATTTTACTGCATCCACAGCGGTAACACACTGATCCAACAAAACTCAACGAACATGTCTGTTGGTGTTGGTTGGTGTAGTGTGAATTAGCCATTAGATGCCAAAGTGAACAGAACATGAGGGCTAAAATTGATCTAAAAAGCAATGTTCATTGTCCCATACAGTATTGAGGGAAGGAAGTTGCCTCCTCACCAGGTGGAAGTGGACGCCATTCAGAATAACAGCACTCAGATCTTCCATAAAGTTCATTTTCCCAACGATACATCTGAAGTAAGGAGTGACATTACAGTTTAAACAGTTTTACTCATTGTTTTTTTTCCATTCATGTTAAAAACCCTCTCTTTTTATTTAATTTTAGATATTTGAGGTGACCACCACCACAAAGATCAAAGACTTATGCCGCAACATTGCCAAAGACCTCCGGCTCTCTTCATCAGATGGATACAGTCTGTTTGTTAAAACATCGACGAAGGTTTCAGACATGATTTCTTTCAGTCATTTTGTTTTTCCTGATGGTGTTGTTTTATGTCCATGCTAATCTTCATGGGTCATATCTGATTCTTTCAGGTAGTAAGTATGGATTCTAAAGAGTACTTTTTTGACAACCTCAGGCAACTCACAGATGTCGTCAAAAAAGGAAAGAAAGTCAAGGAGGGTGAGCTGTATAACATACTAACTACTGTAATTAACCCAATAAATATTCAGTAGATGCGTTAAAATCAGACTCTCACTCACTATAAATATTATTGATCCTGAATACAGCTACTCCAGCTATTGTCCCTTACCTGGTGCTCTTCATGAGGAAGCTCTGGTTTAATGTGATCCCAGGAAAAGACCTAACTGCTGACCTAACCTTCCACTTTCCCCAGGTACATTGTCTATCTGATCATTTCTTATCTGGTCAAGCCAAATACTGTCAGCAGAATTAATTTTGACCTGCCTTACAGTGTATCAAATTTTTGTATAACTGAATAGAGTGCTGCAGAGATAAAAAAAAAAAAATTCTAGGCCAACCTAGAAGTTACCATCACCCTGGTTCCCTAAAAAAAAAAAAAAACTCTGTGACCAACCAGAGTTATGATTCATACATGTTTTGTTCAAGATAATCTTCACAAATGAAGATTAAAGGGGTCATGAACCGCCTTTTTTTATTATTTTGTGCTGTTCTCTGACATCCACTTATAATGTTATCAAGATTTTTACATAAAAAACATCATCATTTAGAAGTAATAGGCTATTTTCTGTCCTGTTTTGACCCCCCTCATCAGAACGCTCTGATTGAATAGTAGTGGCGGATTGTAGACTCTGAAGTAAACGCCCACTGCTATGATTGGCTAACAGTTGTGTATGTTTGAGAGCCTACATCCTTCACAGATGGACGCTGCTGTAATTTAGGTTAAAAATGCATAAATACAGACAAAGAAATAGTGACCACATAATAAAAACAGTTACTCACACTTGTGTGGTATGACATTACCGTCGGATCCAATATAGTCAGCTCAGCATCGTCTTTTAGTTTCAATATTTCTGAAAATTGTGTCAAATTGTGCCTTGTTTGTAATGAAATCGACAGTAAAATTAAGTGAACCAAAGCACGAAGTTCTTACTGATGCAGTCTGGAACTTCATTAAAAATTAAGTTCATCCACTCTTTTCTAATGTTGGGATCAGAAGGAAGGCAATGCAAAGACTGTGTTTTTCCACAACTTGGCACTGCACAGCGTCTTGTTGTCTTCAGAGCATCTTTATCATTTGGTTTCTAAACAGGCAGTGATGTAGAAGCATCACGTTGATCTTCTTCTGCGGAAGCGGTGTTTAGCCACACTAATACTTCATAAAGTGGCACATTCCACAACCTGTCGTTTTGGCAGATTGGCTTCAATACAAGCTGTTTGTAGACTAACGAGGAAGTTTTGAGTTCTGAAACTTACAGGATGTTTTTTTAGTACAAAGACCACTTATATGTCAAAAGATCCAGGGAATTTTGATTTCTCAGTTCATGACCCCTTTAAATACAATCCTAATTACAATCGACAAGTAAAAATCCAATCAGCAGATTGTTAGGCTATAAACAAACTACAACATGGTCATACAACTTCAATATCACCAACACTAAGCTTCCAATAACTGTTTTAACTATTTAAAATCTACAAGTTGGACATTTTGAGTAAGAATAGTTTGCAAGATTATAGTTTACAGCGTGTTGGTAAAATTGGACTCTGAGTTTACCTATTCGACATGATGACTTTTAATGTCCCCAACCTACCATTTAGCCATGGCCCTATTTATCCACTTGTTAGCAACCATCTTTTTCACATGTAAAGAGTTTTAAAAAATCCAAGAGTATTACTGATACATTTTATGTGGAAGAATAAATCATAAAAATATATTGTTAACCACTGACCTTATTACAGACATTTAACCATAGACCCATTCAAAAACCTATTGATTTCAGGACAATAAAACCGAAAGTGCAAAAACGCCAACTGATTTCTGAGTTTTAGGACTCTTTCCTGTGACACTCTATTATGCTGTGCAACTCTGCCCAACTGTCTTCTTTTTATTTTCCCAGGAGTTGCCGAAGTATTTGCGGGGTTACCATAATGTATCTAAAGAGGAAATGATCAGTCTGGCAGGACTGCTGTTGCGTGTTCAGGTTGACACGGATAAATCACAGTTTGTCATGATCCCTAGAATGCTGAAAGACCTGGTGCCAGCTGATCAGCAGAAGATCATGACTCCTGATGACTGGAAAAAGGTGATCCTCAAGCCTCTTTGTATGTTTGACTTTGTTTCAAATCTTAGTAAGGTGCCTACATAGACACATACACTACTGTTCAAAAGTTTGGTGTCAGTTGTTTTTTTATTCATAATTTAATCTTTTTTTTTTAAACTTTCTATTCCAAAAAGAATCCTGAAAAATGTATCACTGGCTCCACAAAAGTATTAATCATCACACCTGTTTTCACCAGTGATGATAATAAGAAAGGTTTCTTGAGCAGCTAATCAGCATATTAGAATGATTTGTGAAGTATCGATGTGACACTGAAGACTGGAGTAATGGCTGATGAAAATTCACATTTTAAATATATTAAAATAAAACCGTTATTTGAAAGTGTAATAATTTTTCACTATATTAGTCTTTTTATGCAGCCTTGGTGAACATAAGAGACTTTTCTTCAGAATGTAAAAGGCATTATTTAGGATTAATATATTTTAGTAACCCCTGGCCCTAACATCACAATGAATGACAGAATCATTTTGGTCTTGGGTTTGCAGCACATCATCAATGCATACAACAAACAGGCAGGCATAACTGTAGATGAAGCCAAACTCCAGTTCCTGAAGACGATCTCACAGTGGTCTACCTTTGGATGTGTTTTCTTCGAAGTAAAGGTAACCAGAGCAACACTAAAAATAACGCTCTTGTTACTTACGTAACCTTGGTTCCCTGAGATAAAGGAACGAGCGTTGCGTTAACACGCTATGAGGAAACTCCTGTTTACTCTGATACTGAAGCCTGATTTGATCACGTTTGTGTAGCTGCATGAACCTATGGTGCTTCAACCCGCCCCAAAGGGGTGGAGCCGACTGCTATACAAGTCGGCTCTGAGCGCCATTTCATCAGAATCTTTTGACTGAAGCGACAGTCATCGACTCACGTGCAGCTTTATAGCATGGCAGCCTACACAACTCTCATTCCCTTATGTCAGGGAACCGAGGTTACGTAAGTAACCAGAGCGTTCCCTTTCAAATGGTCTCTCCCGTTGCGATAACACATAACAAAAACCTTCTCCACTTACAAAGGGGATTAGGTAAACTTAAGTGGACAAAATCCATGCATGCAGGGAAGGGATGTCCAAGTTATAAAATCTGGTAGATGTGACGACTAGCCGGCAGCTGCACAGATATCACCAATTGAAATCAACATACACTCTAAGGGCCCAAACCTGGCAGAGTGGATTAGGAGCCTACTCATCCTCTGAATTGGGAAGAGCTAGAAGGGTAATGACTTGTGCTCTGAACAGAGTGAAGAGGACGACTCTACAGTGGTTAGGCACAAACTCAGACATGAAGCACTGACTGACAGTGCCTGCAGGTCACCCACTCGCTTGACTGACGCTAACAAAAGGAGGGCGGTCTTAAGCAACTGTTGCCGCAAGTCGACTGACTGGAGCGGGTCAAAGGGAGGGACCCATAGGGCCCTCAAGACTATAGATAAGTCCCAAGTAGGCACAGTATGAGGACGAGGCGGATTCAATCTCCGAGCTCCCCTCAGAAACCTAACGACAAGATCGTTTCTGCCAACTGAATGGCCAGCCACGATAGAATGATTCGTCGTGATGGCTGCCACATATACTTTGAGAGTGTCCAGTAGCTCTTGTAAAAAGATCAACACATGAGACGCATCACAAGAGGATGGGTCCTCGTTCCGTGCTGCACACCAGACAGAAAATACTGACCATTTAAGGGCATAGAGGCGTCTTGTAGACGGGACTCTAGCCTCCAAAATGGTATTATTCACGATCTCGTGGAGCTGTAAAGACTCCTGTCGAGGGGCCAAACATGAAGGCTCCACATCTTTGGTTGGGGACGTCAATTCATGCTCCTCGTTTGGGAGAGGATGTCCGTCCTCAGTGGTATCGGCCAGGGGGCTGCTGATAACAGCTGAATCAACTTGGGGAACCATGTCTGATTCCTCCAGAGTGGGGCCACCAGGAGGACCGAACATCTGACTTCCCTGACCCGTCTGATGACCTGAGGAAGCAGGGCAGCTGGGGGAAGGCATACAGGCGAGTGCTGGGCCAATTGTGGGCCAAGGCATCTCGCTGCTTTGAAAGTAAATTGGGCAGTGAAAGTTGTCTTCTGAGGCAAAGAGGTCCACCTCTGCCCTCCTGAAGATAGACCAGATCATTTGAACCATTTGGTTATGTAGTCTCCATTCTCCTGGAGCTACATTGCCCCTGGATGGCATGTCTGCTCCCTGGTTCAGTCTACCCAGCACATGAACTGCTCTTAATGAGAGGAGTTTGCCTGTGCCTATAAAAGGAGGAATCGAGCCAACCTGTGAAGGGAGCGTGACCTGAGACTGCCTTGCTGATTTATAAAGTTGTCCGAACAGACCAGGATGTGGTGCCCCTTTAAGGCCGGCAGGAAGGTTTTTAGGGCTAGAAAATAATGCCATCATCTCAAGGCAGTTGATGTGTAAGCGTTGCTCCAGGTTTTACCAGGCGCGAACGCCGGTCTGCCCTCATAAAAAGGTCCCCAACTCGAGTTGTAGGCATCTGTCGTGACCCTCTTCCTTCTGGAGGTCAGTCCTAATGGAATGCCTGATTGAAACAGGCGAGGGGTTTTCCAAGGGGCCACAGCTCTGATGCAGCTGTGGGCTACCCTGAGATGAAAGCATTCTCTGAAAAGCCCTGAGGGGACATGAAGTCCCGAGTCTGAATGACGCCTCTAGCTGCTGAATTATCAGGGAGCATTCCAGTGTAATCCATGCCCGCATCTGGGCAGAATCGATAACTGTCCCCATGAAGACCACTCACTGGCTGGGAGACAGAGAGGTCTTGGCTAAATTAATTTTCAGCCCATGCCGCTACAGGTGGCTGAGCAGCAGTGACCTTTGAGCGATGAGTCCCTGTTCCGATCTGGCCAGCCAATCGCCTAGGTAAATCATAATGTGGATTCCCATCTGTCTCAGAGGGGAAAGAACCACGTCCGTGCACTTCGTAAAGTGCATAGGGCCAGAGGCAGTCTGTGATGAGGGGCTATCTGGATGTGAAAGTGAGCATCTTTCAGATCCACTAATAAAAAAACAGTCCCCTGGGCATATTTGCGCAAGGATCTGCTTCCAAGTCAGCATCTTGAATGGGCGATTTAAAAGTGCATGGTTTAGATGCCTGGGCCTGCCATTTTCTTTGGAACGAGGAAGTAGCAGCTGTAAAAGCCTGACTCACTGTTCGCTAGAGGAACCATTTTCACGGCTCCTTTTGCAAGCAGAGTTTGCACTTCAGACCGGAGAACGTGAGCATTGTTGTCCTGTTCCGAAGTTTGAATAATGCCTCTGAAACGAGGTGGTCTGCGAGCGAACTGAAGTGAGTAGCCTCATTCTACAGGGCTGAAGCACAGAGGCAGGAAGTGGCGAATGAATTGCGACTAGGGGTGTGCCATATCCACCATCCACGATAATACCGGTATACATTTTTACATGATAAAAAATCATATCGTGTCATATCGCGATATCAATGATATAGCGACGCAATGACATATGGCGCATTTACATTCCCTAGCACGCACAACAACAACACCACAAACCAAATAGGTGTGTTCGACTTGAAGCAGCGCTGTGCAGACTGATCGGTGTATGACATCAAAGTATCGCAAGAGCATTTTTAGAGCGTATTCGAGCTCACACTCTTACCGTCAAAAATAGGCGAGGCGCCCATCTTTAGTGAAGCGACGCAGAGAGCTGCTTCTGGAACGTGTCGCGGTGTGGCTGGTGTAAACACAAGCATTGACTAGAGTGGCCGTGATCAGTTCCGGTGGCCGTGTCGGAGCCGTAACGCGCAGCAGACCCATACAGTGTAAATAAGGGGTAATAAGGTATTTTGACATCATACGGTCTGCTTCAAGTCGAAAACACATAGCTGCTGCTGCCACCTTATGACAATAGATTTACACTTCGAATTAGGTAGTCTGTCATCGATGACAGTAGCTCATTGGAAAAGGATGGAAAATTCCCTTTATTTTGTTTGCACTAATAAATGCTGCTGCCTGCCAACTGCAATCACCAATAAAACATTGTTCCATATTTTTTTATATCGTCATAAATATCATTATTGCAAATATTCCTGAAATATCGTGAAATAATTTTAAGCCTATATCGCCCACCCCTTCTTGCGACGACTTCTGAGCTGCAGTAAAGTGCTTGCAAATCTGCCAGGCAGATGGTAAGTAGAGGTGTGCAGTGACCACCTCTTCTCTAGTGAGAGCTTGCCATACCCTCTTACTTCAACTTCTGGTTCAACTTCTGGGAAAAAACGGCACCAGTCTCTAGTGGGAGATTCGTTGACAACAACCCAGCGGGCATCATTCGTCTACACGGCTGTGGGCAGGCTCTTCCGGAGCCGACCATTCTAAACCGAGATTCTCCATAGCCTGGTGAGAATGTGAATCCGTTTGCTCTCCGCCAGCTCGTAATAACTCATTGGGGAGAAGGGTGTCAGGATCCTCTTCGGGGGAATGCCCAATCCTACAAATATGAAGCTGTCAGAGATGTAGAATCATCAGTGACAGCATTCAAACCACTCGTAGACAAGGGGCACTGATTCTCACCTGTAAACCCACCGGCGGATCAAAGTGCTGCGCAAGACTCATGCTCTCGCAGTGAGAGCAGTCTGCCTCACTGAGCGCAGCCTCAGCGTGGGCCTGGCCCAGGCGCATCCAAATCTGAAGCTGTCAGTGATATGGAATCATCAGTGACAGCATTCTCCTCTGATCCACCTAAAAAGATCAAACCGCTCGTTGTAGCCGAAGGGCACTGATCCTCACATGTAAAACACACCGGCGGATCAAAGTGTAGCGGAGAGAGTACGAGAGACCTGTGCCGGAGTGAAATCACTCAAGCCCGGTTGCTCAGCTCCGTGACTCCACTGTTTCTTTCTCCGAACTAGCTGAGAGGGGAGAAATGGGAGAGCAGGGCTGCCTTCATTGAAGAAGGCAATCCGCGAGTGGAGAAGGGCGAGACTCATGCTCTCAGTGAGAGCATTCTGTTCCGGTGAGCGCAGTCTCTGCGTGGGCGGTGCCCAGACTGCTCACCTTGCCCATCTGCATCATGGCTTTTAGTGATCTTCTGCTGCTGGGGCTTCTTCTCACAGTGGCGAGCAGCAGGGTGTGCCTCTTGCTTCGGCTTCTTGCTCCTTGAGTCCAGCAAGGTGATGATCTTCGTCGCTGAAGGAGAAAAATTCTGATGAAATGGCACTCAGAGACGACTTATATAGCAGTCAGCTCCACCCCTTTTGTTGGGTTGAAGTGCCATTGGTTCGTGCAGCTACACAAATGTGATCAAATCAGGCTTCAGTATCAGATTAAACAGGAGTTTCCCCATAGTGTGTTAACGCAACGGGTGTGACCGTTAGAAAGGAAACCCTAATTGCTAAGAAGGGGGGTTGTCTTCTTGACTCTGTCCTTTTTCTCACAGCAAACCTCAGAGAAGACTTACCCCAGTGTTATTACGCTATCAATCAGTAAGCAAGGAGTTAGTATCATCAACCCTAAGGCAAAGGTACAAATCTGTCTGTATAATACATAATACAACTATAATGTACAGCCCAACTCAGCATTATCTAGTTTGTTGAGTTAACAAGTGTTTTGGCTGGCTTGCCTGCAGGAGGTGCTTGTGATGCATCCATTCAGTAAGATCACTTCCTGGTCTAGTGGAAACACCTATTTTCACTTGACCATTGGCAACCTGGTGAAGGGCAACACTCTGCTCTGTGAGACCTCTGTGGTAAATATAGCACACACACACACACAACTATAGCAAGTGTCACCTGTGCATATGTTAATATCCTCTGACTGTTTGTCTTGCAGGGTTATAGAATAAGTGATCTCCTGTCCTCTTACAAGGATATGTATCTGAATGAGATACCAAGGGTGCGGAAATCAAAGAGGATCAACATGTAGTACAATTGTTTTTGTGGCATTTCTTTTTTAGATCTTTACCATAATGATTGTACTATGAATTTGTTCATGTAATGTTTGGAGAATTGCATAAGTAAAAAATTACATTTAATAATCATTAACTTCATCATCACATTTTAATATGTAACAGTAACTAGTATAGATCTGTCAGGGAAATCATAATGTTTTTGCTTGTTGCTTCTTCTATGTGCATATATATTTTAAATAAATTTATAGGCTTGAGTATTTATTTTTATTGCAATAGTCCACCTTCTTATTGACTTTTCATTGCAATGTTACACTAGGTGGCAGTATTTTTACAGTTTCATTCTAATCTATCTAATACTGCTTTGATGGAACAGTCATATTTAACAATAAAATGTAAAAATCAATATGGCTCTAAATTTAAATTTTAATTAACGAATGATGACTAGTTGAACAATTTGTCATCAATAATAATATTCCACAATTTAAATTGCACTAATTTCATTTATTGCACTCATTTAGCTCATAATAATTATACATAGATTTTGTTACTGAATACTGATATGATATATTTGACTTTTGATGTCCTAAACTGTGATATATAGTGCACACACACACATATATATGTATATACAGTATATACACACACACTACTGTATAATATACACTACTGCTCAAAAGTTTGGGGTTGGTAAGATTTTTAAAACGTTCTTTTAAACAAGTCAAAAAACAAAAAAAAACAAAAACATAAAATATTAATATTCTGATAATTTGAAATAACTGTTTTCTGTTTTACTATATTTTAAAATGTAATTTATTACTGTGATGGCAAAGCTGAATTTTTAGCAGTCATTACTTGTCATATGATCCTTCAGATATCATTCTAACATGCTGATTTGGTGCTCAAGAAACATTTATTATTGTTATCAATGTCTCTTGTAATGTTATAAATGTTTTCACTGTCACTGTTCATCATTTTAAAGCATCCTTACTAAATTAAAGCATGAATTTATTTTGAACAGTAGTGTACATTTGTATTTCTTAAATAATTTTATTTACTACTGCAGATGTCCAAATCCACAAAAAAATTGGGATTTTCTTTTAGGACTTTTCGGATTTTCACAGCCTCTCTTGCTGTTTAATTCTTCCACTAAACCAAAAATATCCCAGCCTGCCTCTCTCAACCCCTGGCCTCTTGACCAGCAATTCAGCCATTCCATGAAACTGAAAGAAAGCCTTGTGCTAAAACTGGAAAATCCAGCATGAATGCTCCACAGCAATCATGGTAATCGAGTGTAGAGCACGCTTTTTGGCCCTGATGCACACTTTGCCATGTGCTCACTATTACCGAATAATAACACAGGACCCTGGGTAGGAGAGGGAGAAGTCAGAAACACAACACTTCACTGTGGGGGACTCAAAAAACCATTTTATTCATGTCATGCCTAAAACGTGAAATGTATCCACTTCTCTTCAGCCCTGAGCCTCATTTTGTCTTACCGACATGAGCCTCATGTTATTAGAAACATGTTCTTGATACCACAATGTCATGGAGCCTTACTAACCCAGGCTGACATCTGAAACCTTCAGTCTGGAGCTATTTTACTGTTGAAACCATAAGATGCTGGTGTTTTTTTATTTTATTTTTTATTACAAGCACTGCTGTCTGAGCAGTAATGGAGCAATTGTATCAGTCAACAGACCTTCTTGTAAACAACAAATTATTGAAATATTACTTGGAAAAGTAAGTAGGCAGTTAGTAGGGGTAAATTAAGGTGAATTGGGGACACTTTTTGCCATTGAGATGACTGGAAAAAAATCATTTTTTTCCTATTTTAATATATTTTAAAATGTAATTTATTCCTGAATTTTCAGCAGCCATTACTTCAGTCTTCAGTATCACATGATCCTTCAGAAATCATTCTAATATGCTGATTTGACGATCAAGAAACATTTAATATTATTATTATCAATGTTGAAAACAGTTGTGCTGCTTAATAATTACTGCTTAAAGGGATAGTTCACCCAAAAATGAAAATTGGATGTTTATCTGCTTACCCCCAGCGCATTCAAGATGTAGGTGACTTTGTTTCTTCAGTAGAACACAAATGATGATTTTTAACTCCAACCGTTGCAGTCTATCAGTCGTATAATGCATGGCAATGGTAAAAAAATCTATGAGAGTAAAAAAAACATGCACAGACAAATCCAAATTAAACCCTGCGGCTCGTGACGACACACTGATGTCCTAAGACACGAAACGATCGGTTTGTGCCAGAAACCGAACAGTATTTATATCATATTTTACCTCTAATACACCACTATGTCCAACTGCCTTTGAGCGCGGCATCCGATGCGTGAGGTGTGTACGCGCTCTGGCGTAGTTTACGTTAATGGGTGTGTTGATATCCAACCGAAGAGCAATCAACCATAACTTCAGGCGAGCAGGCTCAGAAGTTGGGAATACATGGAAAGTCACCACTCCCGAATGAGTTCGCGCGAGAGAAAGATAGCGCGTGCACGGCATCCGGTGCGTGAGGTGTGTACGCGCTCTGGCGTAGTTTACGCAAGCGCCGGAAGTGATCTCTCGCGCGTATACGTCATTCATTGTTTACACAGTGCACAGTCATTGTAGGTACGACGGCTAATCAAAATGGTACTTACTTGCGCTTATCCGGATTGTTCAAACCGACTTAAAACTAAAAGATTACGTTCTCTCGTGCGAACTCATTCGGGAGTGGTGACTTTCCACGTATTCCCAACTTCTGAGCCTGCTCGCCTGAAGTTATGGTTGATTGCTCTTCGGCTGGATATCAACACACCCTTTAACGTAAACTACGCCAGAGCGCGTACACACCTCACGCACCGGATGCCGTACGCTCGCTCAAGGCAGTTGGACATAGTGGTGTATTAGAGGTAAAATATGATATAAATAACGTTTGGTTTCTGGCACAAACCGATCGTTTCGTGTCTTAGGACATCAATGTGTCGTCACGAGCCGCAGGGTTTAATTTGGATTTGTCTGTGCATGTTTTTTTTACTCTCATAGATTTTGTTACCATTGCCATGCATTATACGACTGATAGAATGCAACAGTTGGAGTTAAAAATCATCATATGTGTTCTACTGAAGAAACAAAGTCACCTACATCATGGATGCGCTGGGGGTAAGCAGATAAACATCAAATTTTCATTTTTGGGTGAACTATCCCTTTAATACATGAAAACTATTTTTAATTATTGAACTAAATGTATTTAGTTGATGGCTTGCATTCATTTTTTTACTTTGACAACCCTAAATTTTGTAAAATCTTTTTTTCATAGCACCGTATCACCCCCTTGCAACTCAATCTGTGGACTCAATCTGTATTGTTTTGAGACTCACACAGGCAGTTTTTTTGGAAACGTTCCATTGTGTTCTGAACTGTCACATTCCTCATGCCAATTAATTGATCAGGAATGCTTTAAAGGGCTCATATGATGTTGCTAAAAAGAACATTATTTGGTGTAATGAAATGTGTTGCGGTTTAAGGTAAAAAAAAAACATTATTTTCCACATACTTTACATTATTGTTTCTCCTCTATGCCCCGCCTTTCTGAAACGCGTCGATTTTTACAAAGCTCATCAGTCTGAAAAGCGAGGTGTGCTCTGATTGGCCAGCTATCCAGTGCGTTGTGATTGGCCGAATATGTTATATGTTATATGACGAAAATGTTACGCCCCTTACCATACTGTGATGCCGTGTCCCGTTGCAACGAGACAAAAACATTGAAACTCATTATAAACGAGGCATTTGTTGCATCCAGTGGGGACATACGTAATTACGGATTAATGACTTATACTGTCTTTTTACGCGTTGCATTTGTGACCGGAGAAATTACAATTCACACACATCTGAATATTTGGGTTGAACTGTTCTGGAAAAGTGTTGTAAATACAACTTAACCACTGATTTCTAGTCGTGTCTTCTTTTGGAAGGCCAAACAAAGTATTTTCGCTTTCGCAACGAAACACAGTCTTCACAACATGGCGCGGCGGCGGTGGCAGCAACAATAAAGTTACGCCTTCTTTCTTTGCGTGAACATTTGGGCGGCATTATGCAAATCTTCCCATATCGTGACGTAGACATGTGGGGGCGTGTTTAAATGAGGCGTTTTAGGAGGGCGTGGACCAGTTGTAACTTTTATAAAGAATATCTCTTTGGTTTTGAGACTTTAGTCTTTGCAACTTTAGGGATCTTATCTATTCACAAACAGCTTGTAACACTCCAAAGAGAAAGGAAAACTTGAAATCGCATCATGTGACCCTTTAATGCATTCCTCTAAATAAAGAGCCCAGCAAAGGCAATCATGGCTAAGTGCTGAGACTTTCAAACAGCAGCTCTGAAAAATGCAGTCATGCACGTGACTAGCATTTGAAATGCTGCCATTCCTAACCATTAAAACGCATGATGGTAAAGCATTAGTCATGGATGGGGTATGTGTGGCTCCTTGTGGTTTTACTGCTCTTCATCATTGCACTTGTACTATTGCAGTCATGAGGTATGGTTTGGATTGTGGTATAGTTTAAAAATATGAAGGCAAGGTTGCTTTAATTTATTCCCCTTGCAGCATGATTCAGATCTATCATTCAGAGAGAGTCCAAATTGAAGGTTATTCCATCCAGTCACCAATCAATGCTGGAAATGTGTGCGGCTGAAGTAATCAATCTACTCTCTGAGGGCACAGCACATCCAACCAACATGTGCCAGACAATAAACAGGACAGTTTTTAGTTTATAAAGCTGACCTCATTCATGCTGGATTCATTTGAAAATCAATCCTGTATTCAGAATTGTTTGGTTCTTGGCTGATTGTGCTGACCCAGAATTCATCTAACATCTAAACTGATGTTGTTTTTCAACAAACACCAATGATCGCTTTAATTCACCCTCACTCAAATGGATAGAAAAATTCATATTTGCTGGCGTTCCTCATTTCAAGCTTTAGGAATGTGCCCTTTGACCTTCAAATGCTCCACGGCCCTCCATTTTATTCATGTTGAGGAAGAAATCCAAGGGTAACAATGTCAAGTGCTTCTCAAAAGTCAAAAGAATGTTGGCAGCCTTTTTCTCTGTGAGGAGGAAAAGGTCTCCACTGCGCTTATAAACAAGATGAATTGCAGTGTATCGCATGTTTCCTGGTTCCCATACAGGCTGTAACTGCCATAAAAATGCTAAACCTTTTCATTCCAACCAAGAGGATTTTCTCAGCTTACATAAACTCACCTGGAGCCAAGTTTGTTCTTGTGTTGGTATGAAGATGCAGTGCCACAGTGTCGTCATCATGTTTGCCTGTTAAAATGTTATTTGGTTAAAGATGGTTTATTGCAAATATTGAAAGCAAATGTGAACATTGTCAGTGTATATAGACGAGGGTCATGAACTCTCCCACATGCTGGAGTGCTTTTCCCCCTGGTTTCTGTTATCAGTTTAAATGGCAATGCTGTTATGATTTATAAACTCTACTTAAAATGTTCGGATACTGAGTCATGATAATCCATAACTGTATCTATTATCACTCACTGAAGAATTTTTTATATGTTGAACCTTATTGACAGTGATCTACGTTGAATGTTTGCTTAAAGAACTGCATTTGAAAGCAGATGTATTTTAGAGGTATTCAACCTGGAACAAAAAAAAAATGATTCACTGATTCATTTGAATTATCCTTTAACTTAGCCTTCCCTCCTTACTGACCAATCATATTTTATGTTGTTAAATTATCCGACAAACTTTTGCTCTTTTTTATTTTTATAGGCTGTCCTGTGAGTTAGGGTAGTTTTGAATGAAATTTGACAGAAATCATTCAAACATTGTGGAGAAAAAAAATCTGTTTCCTTGAATAAATATCATATATCCAATTTCTTTGAATTTTGTTGGAAATTGTTAAACCGTGTTAATTTGTTCTTGATGCATTTTTTGTTTGTTTGCTTACTTTGTTAGTTGTCTTTGGTGTACATTAACTTGGTTTGATGCTACCCATCCTAATATCCTATATTTCTTGTACCAGATAAATACTGTTTTTGTTAGATAATCTTTAAAATAGAACATTTTAAATTGTATTTTTAAAATACAATTTTAATTGATACATAAATGCATGAACAATGGAGGTCATAATCAGAGGCATTACTACTGTAGCAAATATGTAAGACGTGGCCGTGTTATTTCCAACAACAAGCATTGTTCACTCTCGTTACAACTGAGACCTAAATTCCTGAGATTCCTTCATCAATCAAACTTTTGTCTTTGAAATGTTATGGACCTCCCATCGACTTAGTATAATTAAAACCATAAACTATACATTCCCCCTTTTAGAAAATGCCAGATTTGTTTGGCATTTGTAATTAAGACATTAATTATTTTATGTACCTTCTATTACAAGGTTTTAATGAGAGGTTTTAACATACAATGGGATTCAAAAGCCTGAGAACACGTGAAAATTCTTCCATTTGGCTTTTTTTATTTTTTATTATTTGATATATATCGTTTCATTACAAATTATATTATCAGCATAACAGTTTGAAAAAAAAAGTTAAATTAAAATGAATTTCATAATGTCTCACTTCAATTTCATTGGTTTGCCTCACTTTTGCTTTAAAGACATCAGCACTCGAGCTGCATGAACTCCACGTTTGTGTAATGTCTGTGCAGAATCTCAAATATTTTCTTAAATAAAAACAGATTTTTTAAAAATCTTTATAAAACTTTATTTCCAGATTTTAATACAATTTTGAATTCCAAAGTTTCAATGCGTTTTCATGCTTTTGGACCTCACTGTATATAGACAGATATTTGGCCCTAAAAACAAGGAAATAAAACACACACACAAGATTTAGCAGGATTGCATGTGGGATGTATGTGAGCTGCCCAGTTTTCACACAGTTGAGTGCCTTGTACTAGGTAAACAACTGAAATTTCATAATGTCTCACTTCAATTTCATTGGTTTGCCTCACTTTTGCTTTAAAGACATCAGCACTCGAGCTGCATGAACTCCACGTTTGTGTAATGTCTGTGCAGAATCTCAAATATTTTCTTAAATAAAAACAGATTTTTAAAAAATCTTTATAAAACTTTATTTCCAGATTTTAATACAATTTTGAATTCCAAAGTTTCAATACGTTTTCATGCTTTTGGACCTCACTGTTTGGCCCTAAAAACAAGGAAATAAAACACACACACAAGATTTAGCAGGATTGCATGTGGGATGTATGTGAGCTGCCCAGTTTTCACACAGTTGAGTGCCTTGTACTAGGTAAACAACTGACTTACAGTACGATCACCCACAAACAACTTCCTCATGAGCAATGCAAGTCTAAGTTGCCTCTCATTACTGTCACAAAGATCCATTAGTTATACATTTTATTTTTTTATTATTTAAACATCACATCTAATACAGATGTAGCCTTGTTCTATATTTGGAAACACAGAGTATGACATCAATACCATGTTACAAAGCATGCGACTACACTAAGAAATATTGAGTTGGCTTTGTCAGTAACAGTATTCGTAGAATAGGAGGCCAAATAGGTTAGTCAATGTTGGGTAAGTCAGCTTTGAGCGAGTTATCTATTGTTCTCTCTCAAAAGCAGAATGTTTGTCTGAATGCCTCAGAAGTTTTCAACAAAACGGAGTCTAAAATGTGGCTAAAGGTGAGCCTGAGGGAAATTACGTGAGGTTTTCTCTGGTGAAATATGAGAGCTGGAATGCCCCTCAATGGCATTCGCTTATAATTACTCATCTTTCTCGGACTGTGCGAGAAAAAACCTGGAATGTGCGAAATGGGCTGAAATCCAGTAGATGGTGCTTGCTTGAACCAACAGAAATTTCCCAAGGGCTTCACAAACCAAGAGACACATATTTTTTATATATTAATAGCTTTATTGTAAGTGTATGAAATGTTTCAGAACATTCACATCTTTCATTGATTAAATAGAAGAGGTCAACCCTTGGCCATGTGTTTTGAACACATGAATTTTACTGAAATGCTCTTTGGCATCAGTTCCTCAGCATTACATTCCAAACACAACTCAAAATAATTGTACAAAATATATATTAATATTTACTTTGAAATGACACCTTGACCAGCAAATGTGTCATTTAAGAGCAAACACATTCGAAAACAAAGTACAAGAAAGCAAATTATAATACAATTGGTTTTCTCTCTAACAGTTCTTCTGGACTCTTAGGTCTATACGTATAAGGTTTTTGTCTCACACAGCGTGACAGCATTAAGCATGCCGATCCTAGAAATGCAACGTAAAAGAATTTTGCTGAAGGGCGTAGCAGCCATAAATAGAAAATCATGAGAAAAACGTAACCATTTATAACAATCAATAAAGGTGGGGTGGAAAAGATACATACAAGAGCTTCAGTCTCAAGAAGAAAGTCAATTGAATTGGAATGTGGTGAAGTTACCACAGGTCTTCTGAGAGGAGTTACAATGCAATAGTGAGGACAATTTAGAAGTTTGTGTCCGCCCTCCTGTATGGTACGGCTGTAAAAAACAAAAAAACGTAGGATTCTCACCAGCAGCAAAAGTCTCTGTAATTCAGTTTACTGCCTTATCTGTCAAAACATACCAGACTGGAGATGTAGTTTTAAGAGAAGAGCTCAGCCTCTTTGACGAGATTTTTGAGCAGCACTATTAATTAGCTGGACTCTTGCTTCACAACAGTATAGTGATGTGGTGTCATTTAAGCTCTCCCAGAGCTCCTCTACATTTATTTTGCAAGGCAGTTTGTCAGTGTTCTTCATCAAATGAAGATCTCCACTGCATCAGCCGCCACATTATCAAGGCCCTTGAAAAGGTCCAGAGCAGATGGTGCTTTCTGGATGTTATCTATGAAAAATAGTAACAAATATTAATCAGTTATCACAAAATGAGGGACTACATCAGGAGAGAGACATCAGTGGTAGACCTATTTACAAAAGATCACAAATTAGTTTTTGACAAATGACTTTTAATCAGCTTATTTTTTTACACACTGAAGTGTGTAATATTTTCAGTATATCCCATATTATGCAGAAACAGTTGAAGTTGACTCACCAGAGCTGGTCTCTGTGTAGGAGGTTTGATCTGTTGTCTGTTTCAGAACTTTCTCAGGTTGTCCTGGGACTGCTTCCGGAGCGAGCGCCAAATGGGACGTACCATTGGAATGACTCTTCCCTGGAAAAAGATCCATAAGAATTTGTAATTAGTAATTCTCAGCTAATTTCATGCCATTCTCAGAACTAACTAATGCTGCTAATGTTAGTCAGACACTAACGTCAGTAGTAAATGCTAATTAGGAGTGAACACTAATGCTAATGTTAGTCAGACACTAACGTAATTAATAAAAGCTATTTGACAATGAACACTAATGCTAATATTAGTCAATAACTTAGCTAGTAAAAGCTTAGCTAGTAACTAGTAAAGGCTTAACTAGCAAACACAATTAGCAGTGAACGCTAATGCTAATGTTAGTCAGACACTAACTTTTACTACATATTAATTAGCAGTGAACACTAATTCTAATGTTAATCAGACACTAACTAGTAAAAGCTAATTAACAGTAAGCATCAATGCTTATCAGACACTAACTTAACTAGTTCTGCAAACTAGCAGTGAACACTAAAGTTAGTCAGACACCAACTTAACTAGTAAAATCTAATTAACAATGAACACTAATGCTAATGTTAGTCACACTACAACTTAGCTTAGTAACTAGTAAAACCTAATAACTTAACTAGTAAAAGCTTAACTAGTAAACACTAATGGTAATTTTATCAGGCAACAGCTACCAAATCATAAGTAGTAAACATAAATTAGCAGAGAACACTAATGCTAATTTTAGTGAGACACTAATTTATTTAGTAAAATCTTAGCTAGTGAACGCTCCTTAGCATTGACACTAACCTTTGACCTGGGCAGTGTGTGTGACCGTTGAATGAGAGATGGTGATGGAGGGCTCAGCAGTAGCTAGTCGGGGGTCACCTGTCTCTCTCTGAAGCTTCTGCTTCAGGATACTAATCACTGTGTCCTTCTCCAGGATTTGGGCGTACAGGGCACGGATCCTGACAACATATTAACCTTATGAGTCCTACACAATCTTAAAATCCAAAATGGTTAATTAAACACGACTGATATTTATTTTTAGGTGTCAAAAAGGTGTCTCTTTTACCTGTTTTCTACCTCCTGGTTCTTGTGCTCAGATAATGGGAGCTCCTCAATGAAGGAATGGCAGGGCGAATGGTTGATGATGGTTGTGTCTCTATGAAGTTCAGGAAAAAAGCTATTAGAAATTGGTTAAAAAAACTCAATAAGCTCTGAAGATTTTGACACTGATCTCCTTCTTTACCTCTGAGCTGCAGCGGTGGCAGCAGCATCCATCGCAAACTCCCTCATGGTCTTCTCCTCCAAGTATTTCTGTTCCCAGCGCGTCTTGTCGGCCTCCAGGGACAGAATGCGCTCTTCTTTCTCCCTCAGAAGCTCTTGCAGTGTGGACACACTCACGTGGGACGCTACGGAGACTGGCTGAGGCTGCCGCTGTGGACAAAGACAAGCAAACAAAGTGTAAGATTGTTGCAATGTCCTGATCTGAAGTCTCAAGCTATTCTTAGCTTTACTGGAAGGAAACAGCCCTGAAATACAATGCCACATCTGAACAGTTAAAAACAAAAACAAAGCACCGTTTTGTCTCAGTACCTGCTGATTTCGGAGGCTCCGCAGTTCCTGCTCTAGCCGTGTCCTCAGGCGCGTTTCCAACCCTTCTCTTTTCTTGCAGGTCGCCTGCAGCTGAGTTAGAGCCCCCTGCAGACGCTCAACCTTCTCCACATACGCTCTCTTCCTCTGCAGCTCCGTCCACAGCTGCTGGCTGCGTGTCTGCGTGGACCTCACTGCCGTCTCCAGGGCCTCACTCCTGTGCTGCTGGTTCTCCACTTCATTTCGCAGATGCTGAACCTCCTGCTCCAGATGTGCACACTGCAGCTGCTGTTCTTCATCTGTCAGAAAAGATAGAAAAATTGAGATCCGTGTTTGTAAATTAAATGGATATGAACAGGTCACATGCTTAGAGAGCCAAAGAAATTCCAAGTTGTGGTCCCCACAGACCAAGTTTAGGCACATTCATGGGCCATTATGGCATTGTGGCATGGATGGTGGCATTTTGGCTGTGATGTCACAATATGGCTTATCTATTTTTTTGTTTATATTTTATATTTAAATATGATTTCTAATGTTTTGAGACATAATATGTGTATTGTATTGATCTAGTAGGGTATTGGTTCAGTTCTAAGCCATTCTTGCTGGCTAAATTCAAGTCCTTAGTTGAAATTGTTAACTAAACTATTAAAATTGTTTTCATTCATTGAAATAAAACTGAAATTAAATAAAATATACAGATTAGTACAGGCAACTAACTAATAAAGTCAAAATAAATTAAAGCTAAATAGAAATATTCAAAAACAAAATCAAATAAAAATGACAAAAGCACAACAAATTTACTAAAATGAAATTAAATTATTATATAATATAGATAATTGTATTCAAAATATTCTAAAATAGCACTGTTCTGCAACCATTGGTCTGTATATTCTATTCTGTTCTATTCTATTCTATTATATTGTATCTAGGTTCGAATGCAAGAACTGATGAAATGCATACGAAGGAAAAGTATGTTGCTTTGGATAGAAGCATCCGCCAAAAAATGTTTTCAGTATATACTAATCCAATATGTCCAGTCATAACAAGCATAGATATTTACGTGAGGATGTGAGAAAGAAGCTGAAGGAATGTTTATGCAGGCCCTCTCCAGCACCACTCCCCATTGACTTCCTGCTCAGGAATTCAATCGCAAAGTCCGGAGCGCCTCATTTACGCAAGCGCTTAAGGAATGCAGAGGGAAGGAGAAGCAGTGACCCACTCTCCCTTTGACCCACATCCCGGAGCTTATTTCCCATCAGTCACTGCGAAACTCATCATCATCCCTACTCTTCCCATTCTTAGCAAACAGGAAGTGATCGCTGAGCAGAACATTTCATTAATTGTCAGTGTGAAGCAGACAAGAGCAGTGGTTATCTGTCCCCAGGCATTCTCTCGTACATAGCTAAAGTCACATCTGACATTTAATCCTCTTTTCTGACTGTTCAGATCAACTAAGGCGCTGTTATGTGACTGAAATTCCTGCATTGGAATGTTCTAATTGGAAACACGTTCCCTCTTTAAGCAAAATGACTCAACAGAAAAACAGATCTCACATTTGGAGTGCAAATCTGGATTAAGAAGTATCCAGAGCATGTGAAACAGTATAGAGGTTTGATGTGGCCATGTTCATGAACTCACTCTGCAGAAGGAGCTTCTCAATAACATGCTGGTTCTGGTCAGCAGCTTCGGCTTCTTTTGCCGCTTGAATGCTTGAATGCTGTAGCCTCTTGATCTCAGCCATCAGCTTGTTTCTTAGCACTTGCTCTAGAGTTTCTCTTTTAGCGCAGCCCTTCATCAGAGTGTCGTAGGCCTCTGAGATCCTTTGGATCTCTTGTTCTAGCTGGGGGAAAAATAAAAGACAATTAAATTGCAAGTCAGATGTGTTAATCTAACAAATACTAAAAGATGGTTAGCAATCAGTGTTGCTGGTTATGTTTAAAGGTGCAGTCACATTAGTGAAATTTTGTGGGCAAAAAAGGTCCATAGTCTATTGTCAATAGTGTAGAAATGTATAACTGAAGTCACAGAAGTCACTTTCAAAATAAGCTGCTTTCTGCTGGCCAGCATGCAAAATTACATAAAAAATTTTCTGAAAAACTAGCACAATCTGTGTGCTGAACATTTTCGCCCTCATTCACGAAATTTCATCAAGCAACGGTAAATGTAACCGCTCCTTGAGAGCACAGAACAGAGAAGGTGTTTAAGGAGTGGAAAGACCAGGATAGCATTAACCATGACTCCATCATCCCAGGCATGTTTACACAAGGCAGTGGCCTGATGGGTAAGTGCTCAAACCTGTGTAATTATAATTCTTTCAGAGTGAGCAACAGCTTAACTGCACTGATGTAATCCATTGAAAACACTACATTGCCTTTTGGAATTTAGCCAAAGTCAAACGAAAACTACAAAATACACATAGAACAGAACGAGAATTGCTTGCCCAAAAAAACTCATTTTGTTAAGTTATTTACCACATTTTTTTTCACCAAAAGTAAATTTCAGTGTCATGTGCTTTTACCTTCTGAATTCTGAGGGCCTTCTCAGTGTGTCCCTCTAGCTCCTGTTTCAGTCTTTTATTCTCGTTCATGAGCATTTCCAGTTGACTGCGACTGCAAGCCGTGACTTCCCTGCCAGCAGGGGGAGCTGTGGAGAGTCTATGGCAAACCTCTGGTGTTTGAAGTCTGCAGTGGCACAAGGTAAAAATCATGATGTTAGTTAAAAAACTAAATTGTGGGATTCCGTTCATCTTAGTATGTTAGTATGGTTGGATGACAAACTACATCAACATGTCCCATATTGCATACTCAGCCATAGCATCAGCCAAGACTATTAGTCAAAATGACACATCTTATAAAGTACGTCAGAACTGGAGGAAATGCATATACTATGTTACCAAATCGAATGTCAGCTGTGGTTAAGTGTACATTTTGCAGTTGTTATAGTCTTCTCTACCTGTTGTGCTGGGAATGAAATGCTGGTGGTGCTTTGTAGTAATGTTCATACTCCGCTGCTTGTTGTGCAGGAAAGGGGTACTCGGTATAAGGAACCTGCCTATTGTATTCCAGTCCTTGCTGGCTATATTGTAAGTACTGGTTTGCATGATATCCATGGATCTGAGGATAACTGGCAGAACATGTTGCAGGCATTTTACTGCGCTCTCCTGAAAACTGCAGAAGCCGCTCACTGAGTGACCGTACGTGGCCTCGCTTCGGGTCCCAGCTGTCTTCCTCCTCACAGGGCTTCGGGATGGTTTCACTATCCTGCAGTGAGCAGCCCCTGTTCAGCTGGCACCACTGGGAGGCCAAATACTGAGACTGGGCCTTGGCTTGTTCATAGGTGGGCAGCTCCTCGCCGTGGTGTGGGTATGTTGTGTAGTTCTCAGAGTGCTGGTAGTCGACCTGGTGCTCTTGACCCTGGGGATCTTGGCGGGCAGAGAGCTGAAGAGACTGGGGCTCCTCTTGGCTGAGGCTCTCAGATGACGACTGTGAAGACCCAGTCCCTCCGCTGCCACCTCTAACACCTCCTCCTCGCTGCAGGGCCTGCTGCTGGATGGCCAGGAGTGTGTGGGCATCTGTGGGGTTTCCATAGCGAAGCTGCTCTTGGATTAAAAAGTAAATTTCAGAGTCATGTGCTTTTACCTTATGAATTCTGAGGGCCTTCTCAGTGTGTCCCTCTAGCTCCTGTTTCAGTCTTTTATTCTCGTTCATGAGCATTTCCAGTTGACTGCGACTGCAAGCCGTGACTTCCCTGCCAGCAGGGGGAGCTGTGGAGAGTCTATGGCAAACCTCTGGTGTTTGAAGTCTGCACAAGATAATAATCATCATGTTAGATAAAAAACTAAACGATGAGATTCAGTTCATCTTAGTACATTAGTGCATTTGGATGACAAACTACATCAGCACGTCGCATATTGCATACTCAGCCATAGCATCAGCCAAGACTATTAGTCAAAATGACACATCTTATAAAGTACGTCAGAACTGGAGGAAATGCATATACTATGTTACCAAATCGAATGTCAGCTGTGGTTAAGTGTACATTTTGCAGTTGTTATAGTCTTCTCTACCTGTTGTGCTGGGAATGAAATGGTGGTGGTGCTTTGTAGTAATGTTCATACTCCGCTGCTTGTTGTGCAGGAAAGGGGTACTCGGTATAAGGAACCTGCCTATTGTATTCCAGTCCTTGCTGGCTATATTGTAAGTACTGGTTTGCATGATATCCATGGATCTGAGGATAACTGGCAGAACATGTTGCAGGCATTTTACTGCGCTCTACTGAAAACTGCAGAAGCCGCTCACTGAGTGACCGTATGTGGCCTCGCTTCGGATCCCAGCTGTCTTCCTCCTCACAGGGCTTCGGGATGGTTTCACTATCCTGCAGTGAGCAGCCCCTGTTCAGCTGGCACCACTGGGAGGCCAAATACTGAGACTGGGCCTTGGCTTGTTCATAGGTGGGCAGCTCCTCGCCGTGGTGTGGGTATGTTGTGTAGTTCTCAGAGTGCTGGTAGTCGACCTGGTGCTCTTGACCCTGGGGATCTTGGCGGGCAGAGAGCTGAAGAGACTGGGGCTCCTCTTGGCTGAGGCTCTCAGATGACGACTGTGAAGACCCAGTCCCTCCGCTGCCACCTCTAACACCTCCTCCTCGCTGCAGGGCCTGCTGCTGGATGGCCAGGAGTGTGTGGGCATCTGTGGGGTTTCCATAGCGAAGCTGCTCTTGGATTAGTCTGTGCAGGCCAGTACCAGACGTTTCTTCACCTCTCATTTTATTTGATGGAGACGAGTATTTATGATCTGAACTGGACCTGGAGGGCAAGAGACCGATCCAAGAGAAGATTATGATTTTTCAATAGTCAGTAGTTATTTGAAATAAATAAATAAGGTTTAAGTGCTGTATTTTTTTTTAACTAGCCTATTGTTTAAGTGCTCTATTATTTTAAACTATTATCATCAGTTTAGAGAAAGTGTCACAGACATATTAAACAACAGTATAAAAAGATAAAAATAAGATAAAGATAAAATAAAATAAATCTAAGACAACTTTACACTGTAAAATGTTGTCACATAACAAGCTTCATTTGGTAACATATGTTTTAACTAGTGTTGCTTAAATCAAATAATAAGCAAATATTTAATGACAAAACCAACTATTTTAACTTGCACCAATGATAGGGAGAGGTCATGCATATCCACGTTGTACCATATAGTTAAAATGAATAATAATAATAATAAATAATGTAAACAGCTATATAAATTAAAAGAACATCAAATAATTACAAAAATAAATAAATTATAAAATAATAACAATTCCAAAATAAAACCAAAACAACACATTCCATTTTACCAACAACTATTCAAATACACACACACACACACACACACACACACACACACAAGTGTTCATCCCTAACCTATAAACACAGCGCGCTCACAGATGCTCAATGGGAAATCTTCAATATTCCTAAAACTCGTCCCCAGCTAATTAAACGCCATAAACATAACACAATTTCGTCTAACTTTTACTCAACAACAACAGATCGTCCTCAAATCGATTCGGATTAATCGGTGTTACATTTAAAGTCTCATATATTCCGTTTTTCTGCCGATTAATAAGGCACTAGTGAACGCGTTCGCTACTATTGATCATGTCTGTAAAACGAACATTGACGATTAACTTACCAACTTTCAAAACTTTCATTCCACACGGATTCTGTTAATGGCATGTGTAATAATCCAAGTAATCCAGCTAATGTCTTCTGTATGTGTTTTATCTCCTCGCTGTGTATGTGTGTGTGCGCTCAGGTCTGGTTGGGTTATGAGCTAGTAGGCGCGCGCTCTGCTCTCATAAATAACTGAGCGCGCCTGGAATGATCGGAATGTGTGAGCTCAGGCATCAAAAGTGAAAAGAGAGAAAAGGAGCCATTTAACTCAGCAGCTGCAGTTCTGCTTACGTCCACCGGGGCTTTCACAGGAGCTACGAGCGCTCAGGTTTTCACTGAAAGTACTGTATAAAGGGGCCAGTTGTGGTCGAAGTAAATCCATGGCAACATAAAGCCTTGTTTTACTACAGAGAGACTGAGAAGTGATGTCACATTAACAGAGAAAAGGTGTCAAAAGGTGTGACCCAATCTGAAAGGTATGCAGACGTGTTGACACAAGATAGGAATACAAATTACTAGAGCTAGAAGATCAACCTTTGTGTATTTAAGCATATCTTATAAATGTTTAAGCATATTTTCAAGTACTAAACGAGTTTACGTTTATGTTTTCTTCTGTATGTTGCTGAGCTGACTTACTGCACTTTTATTTCACAGCATACAAAGTTTTGCCCTTTTGGACTTCTATTCTTTGTACTGAAAATTCAGCTTTACCATCACAGGAGTTAATAAAATTTGTTGAATATAGCCTATCTAAATAGAAAACACTTATTTTGAATGGTCATACTTCACAATACTGTTTTATTTTAGTCAAATACACCTGGTGAGCATAAGAAAAAAAACGTAATTATTTCAAACTTTTGACAGGTAGTGTATAAGCAGATGGGGAAGGCTACACTATATTAAAAAAAAAAAAACAAACAAAAAAAACATATACTGAACTTGCCACAAAATGGGACGGTCTATCTTCGCCTTGGTCTCCCTAGTATATTTCAATAGTCCAAAACAAGTCACCAACAGGAAACAGGGAGGTAACACCCTGCTATGGCGGACAGGGTGGTAACTTTTCTTAGTTGCCCTATGGTTGTCTATGAATCCTCAGGTTCCTCCTAACTAAAGCCATAATAAATGTGAAAGGGTGCAATTCCACAGAGTGAATTGGAAATGAATGTTTAATCAGTCCGTCTGGACTGATTACGCTGAGATCAAGCAGCAGATTTCCAATGGAAGTGCACAATGCAAAGAGCATGATGTTTAAAATAACAAGGAAAACTTTATTTGCTTCTATTCTATGATATTGAACAATCCTTCATACAGCTTCCCCTCTTGATTTGACTGATAGCAGGGTATTTCCAACTAAGTCTCAAACAGTGAGTCAGTGGGAAACAGGCATGTGTTGGACGTGTGACTACTTGATTGCAGGTGTGAATGAAGGAAGCAGTCACTGGCAAGTCTGTACAAATCTATGAAAATTTGAGTCTTCCTCAAAATCATTCCAGGAAACAAACTGGAAGACATCATAGCACCAGTAGTGTGATCTTCCACCATACACCCCGCACTAAGAGCCATCCTGCTTTGTTTTGGGGGTTTTTCCCCCAACAACCCCTTTTGGAGCCAAACTGGAATATCTCCATTCTTTCAACCTCCACCCTTATATAGTTCTAAACTGCCATGTGGGCTTTTTAGAAGAATCACAAGACTGAAGCATGAACCACTGAGACAGCCTACAATGAGCTAAGTTGTTTACGGACCTCCTTTGCTCCAGGCCACTAGATCAAAACTCTATTAAGACAAGCCTTTGATATCTGCATAAATAAAAGATGTCTTTAAAGAAAACCAACCGGAATATACCTTTTAAAAATATTTTATTAATATGCTCTATTTAAACACATTAGGAACATGTTATGTGTCCTCACTACAAATGCTCATAAATCGGTCAAATAGTGATTATATTTAAATCTAATAATGTGCATGTACAGGTTTCTGTGAGGGTTAGGATATGGAAAATATTATTAACATGATATAAAAACAAAAATCTACAGACATATATGACATGTGCTCACTTATATAATCAAACAAATCAGTGTGTGTGTGTGCGTGTTTGTGTCTACTTAACCATTTAAAAAACTTGCATAAAAATAAAGTAAATAAAGTTTTTAAAAAAATGTAAAATGCAGTTTTCTGATAGTGTAAGGATTTGGGTTAGGGTGTAATATGTAAAACTACATTTATATAAAAACAATATAAGTCTATGGAATGTCCCCATTTTGATAGTTAAGTAAACGTGTGTGTGTGTGTGTGTCTTTCCTACATCACTGGTTCTGCTGTTACTAGTTAAAAAGGTGTGTAGCTACAAGCCTCCATCAGTCTCCATTATTAATTTGAAAATTTCATAACAGAACTAGCGATGACGTCTTGGGCCATATTGAGAAGTTACTGGAGTAACAAGGAGGCATGATTGTGTGATCCTGCTTTTATACAACAGTTCATTATAAATGATAGTTAAAATTGAGTAGCTAACATTTTAGTCACAATATTGCCAGTTACTGTTTCAGCTCTGCTAATGAAAATAGTTTCAAACAAAGACACATTTGCTGATTTACATTGTTTCCTTATGCAATTCTGCAGAAGACGGAGTGCTTTGAATACAAACACAAAACAAATTAAATTCTGCCCAGGATTTGTATAAAAAGAAATCACAGAACCTAATATGACAGTTGGTGGGGTTAATAATTTGACAGTATGTCTTTGTGTGAATGGGATCCTTTGCACCCTCTCTCACAGTGTCATTAGACATAATTAGCCTAATCTACAACATTCCTCACCTCTGGTGTCTTACGTTCAAATTTTTCTCATGACTTGCTGTCAAGCCGTGAACCTGGAATGAGCAGCAAAACAGTTGTTCATTCCACACATACAGTGGGTACGGAAAGTATTCAGACCCCCTTTTTCTGTCAATATGGGGTGCTGTGTGTACATTAATGAGGAAAAAAAATTAACTTAAATGATTTTAGCAAATGGCTGCAATATAACAAAGAGTGAAAAATTTAAGGGGGTCTGAATACTTTCCGTACCCACTGTATGTTCATACTCTGGTTTTTCTTGAGAAGTATGAATTGTTCCATAAAATCCAACGGGTACTTGCAATTGCAAACGCAATAAAATAAATGAAAATACATGACACGGGAAGTGACAAGCGATACAACACAATTACAGATGGAGTTGCATGGTGCAGATCCCCTAAATAGTTTTCCACTGGACCAGGATAATGCCGTTTATTCATGTGGGTCCCTGCTTTAACCGGCCCTGTGCCCCTGAGCAAATAGCTGCCCCCACTCCTGCTGATCCAGCACATAGCTCACACTCAGTGGTTTTGCCCACCAAGGTGATGGAGGATATATATAGACCTTAAAAAGTTTCTGAACTCTTACAGCACACATTTTTACAAAAATGTAACACAATTATTAAAAAAAAAAAAAAATGTAGCACAAGTACACTGTAAAAAATAAAAGTTAAATGTGTGTTTGGTTGAACTATGAGTCTAACTAAAAAAAAAAAAAGATGTACTAGTAGCCCTGAAATTTACTAGACTAAAATAAAGTAGTAAACTTCTTTTTAAAGTTCATTTAGCTGAGTATTCTCTTATTCCACTCAACAGTTTCACTTATTCCATTTAACAAGTGTATAATATAGATAGATAGATAGATAGATAGATAGATGATAGACAGACAGACAGACAGACAGACGATAGACAGATGATAGACAGACAGACAGATGATA